CACTCACCTCAGCCTCCCAAAGTGCTGGGATTACAGACTGAGCCACCGAGCCCGGCTTAATATGTTCTTAATTGACATCTCTGCTTCTCCTCTTTTCCTCTTCAATTCTCTACTCATTAGATAGTGATATTAAAAGGTAAAGCAAATCATCTTACTCTGCATCTTAAAAACCATCAAGGACTTCACATTGCACCCTGAGTATGATTCTGACTCCTTGAAAACTTCTAGATTTAGACATAGTAGTCTTCCCAATCTGCCTTTTTGTCTTCCCCTTCCCTCCCTCTCTCCCTCCCTCCCTTCCAAGAATATTCCTGTGGCTGATTTTTTCCATTCTTCAGGTTTTGGCTTCAGTGTCACCTTACTTAGAGATTTTTCCTGCCAGCCTTTAGGTAAAGTAACTTATCCACTTGCCTTCCAGTCCTGCTGTTTTCTCTGTCTCAGTATCCTTTTTATTTCCGTTTTCTTTATAGCCCCATTTATTTGTTACTATTCTCTCCTCTGTGCCTCCCAGTAGACATTACCTCTATGAATGTCTCATTTTAGCCCCAGTGCCTAGCCATACCACAGTCTTTTTCCCCCATCCCACACACCCCGACCTGTATCACAGTCTTGATATGATCAAAAAGTCTTCTTTGATTTGATTATACTTTGTTCTTTTATAGCACACATCTAATACTGTGTTATAGACATAAATTTACACTTTGAATCAGACACTGAAATTCTGTTCTTTTGATAGATTCCTGCTCCAAAGCGAGGAGAAATAGTAAGACAGATTGGTGAAGCCTTGCGGGAGAAGATCCAAGTACTAGGAAGCTTGGTAAAGTATTTTTGTAGTATTTTGTAGTGCATGCATAATCCTTTGAGTGGGGGGAATAAGCCTGTCAGGCATTTCTGTGTATAAGATTAAGATTTTTTAAAAAGCAACTTATAAATTCCAAAAATCCTTTTTTAGAGGAAAGATTAACAAGATGAACAGGAAAAAGTGAAGACAGTTCTCGCATTTAAAAATTCTACAGAAAAATAGGAACAGACTTTGTTTAGTTTGTTACCATCACCAAATAGACACAACGTGTTTTGCTTTTCCCCTTTTTAACTTAATGTTTATTTTATTTTTTTATTATTTTTGAGTCCAGGTCTCACTGTCACCTGGACTGGAGTGCAGTGACACAATTACAGCTCACTACAGCCTTGAACTCCTTGGCTCAGGTGATCTGTCCTCCTCAGCTTCCTGAGTAGCTGGGACTATAGGTATATGCTGCCATGCTTGGCTAATTTTTTTAATTTTTAATTTTTTGTAGGCATGAGGTCTTGCTATGTTGTGTAAGCTGGAAACCTGGCCTCAAGCAATCCTCCTACCTTAGCCTTCCAAAGTGCTGGGGTTACAAGTGTGAGCCACTGCACGCAGTCCTTAATTTAATATTTAAATGCGAATTCTGTTGGTAAAATTCTGCTTGTGTTTTTATTTTTAGGTGTCTTTGGAGATGGGGAAAATTTTAGTGGAAGGTGTAGGAGAAGTTCAAGAGTACGTGGATATTTGTGATTATGCTGTTGGCTTATCACGGATGATTGGGGGACCCATCTTGCCTTCTGAAAGTAAGCAGTGAAATTAGTTAAGCTAAGAGTTTTGTACTCTGATACAGACAACTCCCAAAAATGCTCTGCCTATGAACAGTTTGCAGAAAGAGGAATTGCAAATGGCATATAAATATGTGAACACATCTTCAATTTTTCTAAGTATACAAATTAAAACAGGTAAAAACATTAGATTAAGAAACTTTTTTTAAAAAAAGTTATTTTTTTTACTGAGACTGGATCTCACTTTGTTGCCCAGGTTGGAGTGCTGTGGTGTAATCATAGTTTATTATAATCTTGAATTCCTGGGTACAAGGGATCTTCCTGCTTCAGTCTCCTGAGTAGTTGTGACTATAGGCATGTGCTACCATACCCAGCTATTCTTTAATTTTTATTTTTGTAGAGACACAAAATCTTGCTTTGATTCCCAGGCTGGTCTCGAACTCTTCACCTCAAGCAATTCTCCTGTCTCAGCCTCTTAAAGTTCTGGGATTACAAGTGTGAGCAATGCAGAGTCTGGTCCCTTTGGTTTAAAAAATAAAACTCAGTGTTGGCAAGTCCATGGGTGAAACACTCTTTTAACCCATCTGGAAAACAATTTGGAAACATGTCCAAAGAGCTCATAAATTTAAAGACTGTTTAAAGAATCTAAGTAAATAATCTGAAATATGACAAAGGTTTATGTGTAAAGATACTCATTGTGCTATCAGTTTAAAAAATTAGAAATCACCTAAATGTCAAATCATAAAGGAAAAGTTAAGCTAATTTTGGGTAAACTAATAATTTTGGATGTACCCAAAATAATGTTTGTGAAGATTGTCTTCCCTTAACCCCATACTTTTATGGGAAACTTGTGTATTTACTTATTTTATAATTATATTAATGTAGATTTTTTTGAAAGGGCTGATATGGTTATATTAGAAAACTAGAAAGGAATAAAAGGGTAAGGAGTAAAAAAGTTTCTTTCCCACTCCCTTGGCCACTCAGTAGTACCCCATGGAAGTAGGGGATGTTTCTGATTTTCTTGTGTATCTTTTTAGAGTTTTTGTTCACATATAGGCAAGTATGTGTCTTTTTCGAACATAAACAATAGCAAACTATACGTTTTGTTCTATACTTTCATATTATGTCATATATCTTGGACATTGTTTTTTGAGTCAGTGTCTCACTCTGTTACCCAGGCTGGAGTGCAGTGGCGCAGTCATGGCTCACTGCAGCCTCGATCTCCTGGGCTCAGGCAATTCTCCCTCTTCAACCTCCCAAGTAGCCGGCACTATAGGTGCATGCCATCATACCTGCCTAATTATTTTTATTTTTTATAGAGATGAGGTCTGGCTATGTTGTCCAGGCTGGTCTTGAACTCCTGAGCTCAAGCAATCCTCCTGAATGCTGGGATTACAGGTGTGAACCACCAAGCCTGGCTGGAAATTGTTTCATATTATTACATTAAGTGGTTTTCTTCATCTGTATTTATGGCTGTTGTGTTATAAAGATATTATAATTTATTTAGCCTGCTTCCAAGTAATAGGTATTTAGGGTGGTTTTCAATCTTTTGCTATTACAAGCTATCCTGCAAGGACTAACCATGTACTCTGAAGAGGTTTCAATGATGGGAATAAGATCTTAAGCAATGTGTAACGTTTGCTATATTGATGGAGCAAAATTGGTGACTCTGTGGTCTGTGTTGATGATACATTAGATACAAATGTATGCCAAAGTGCTAGCCGTGGTTATCTCTGTGTGACGGAATTAGTAGTGGTGTTTATTTTCTTTTTTCTTTTTTTTTAGTTGGAATCTCACTCTGTTGCCCAGGCTGGAGTGCAGTTGCCCACTCATGGCCATTGCAGCCTCAACCTGCTGGTCTAGGGCGATCCTTTTGCCTCAGCCTTCCAAGTAGCTGGAACTACAGGTGTACACCACTACACTCAGCTAATTTTTTGAATTATTGTAGAGATGAGGTCTCCCCAGTTTGCCCAGGCTGGTCTCGAACCCCTGGGCTCAGGCAATCCTCTCTCCTCGGCCTTCCAAAGTGCTGGGATTGCAGGTATGAGACAGTACGCCTGACCAAGAAACTTTTTTAAAAAGATCATATTTTTTCTTTTTCTTGGAATGTTGGGCAAATTCCTTACTTGTAGAAAGAGTTGGGTGATTCTTTTTAAATGTATGGTTAATATCCTTAATTAGATGTGTAACAATGGTTCCCATTATCCAAGATTAATTTTAAGTCATTAAACACTTCCAAGAGGTTTTTCCAGCTAAAAAAGTTAAACTGTCAATTTGAGAAAGTAATACATGAGCAAGCAAGAAACTTTTTTGATTTATACTTCTATGATGCCTGCCTCAAATTTAAAGTCTCCTTCAATTACTTACACATTTTTTCTTTTAATGTAGATTACTCATCTCTGCAGAGGTTTTGGGGAACTTTGACTTCATTAATTTGATAAATGTTTTATGGAGTGTTGTCGATACCAGGCTATCTACTAGATAATACTTGATTAATAAGGCATAGTCCCTTGTCCTCAAGGGATTTATAAGCTTATAAGTTTCCTACTTTTTAGAGTAGGAGATAAGTAAACAAGTAATTATAATTCAGCATGGTAAGTACTGGTGGCCTAGAAGGCAGAATGGTGGGCACAAATGAGTGAACCCCCTAGCCCAGCCTCATAGGTGTAGTCAAGAAAGACCTCCCAGCAAAGGTAAACCAAAGTAAGGCCCCAAGGAATACAAGAGAGGAGGGAGTGGAGTGCTGGGGTAGGAAGGTGTTTTAAACAGGGAAGAAGCCTGTGTGGAGCTTATATGGGAGATGCAGGCTTCACAACCGGAGCATGCAGTGTGGGGGAGGTGGGGTGGCGAGGCAACTCCTTCCTGACAAAGAATTTGGACTTTCTCCTCAGATGTAGCGATCCAGACACCAGAGGGTTGTAGCACGGGGTGCCATTAGGGCTGAGTGAGGAGGGCAGGGGAGGAGGAGGCGGGCCCTGCCAGGAAGAGGCGGTGCCTGGACCTCATCTCTAGGGATTAGGATGCCTAGACCACAGGGGGACCTGGGAGTGAAGTGCTGCATCTGGCATGATCCCTACATCCCAGTTAGCACTGTGAGTGTGACAAAGAAGACCAATGACTGGGACAGCTGCCTTTCCAGTTGATAAATGGTTTTAACCAGGGTTTGTGAACCATCCTGCTCCTTTGCTTCCATTCTTTTCTGCTCCTGCTGCCTTTGATTAAAAGAAGCCCCTTGTGGGATTATGGGTGACATTAAAGTTTATTTAAAATACATATATTTTTATTCATATTTTCAAATTTCCTATAGTGAATGTACAAATTTGTGCAATTCATTCATTCAGCATATGTATAATTATTAGAACTTTTTATGTTAAAAATCTATATCCCAGCAGGGTCTCCAAATGTTAGATCAGACCCACTGGGGTGGGGGTTGTGTGCTGCATGAAAGATGCAAAGAATTGCACATAAGTTAGATTAGAAGATATAGATTATTTAGAAAGTAAATTAGAGAGAGAGATTGATTTACCTCTGCAAGGTAGGAGAGGGGGCCAAAGCTTAGGAAACATGGCGGCAGCCATGGCTCAAGAGCACGTGGTCATACCTGAGTTGAGTAAAGCAACGACAAATGGCTGCTGCAGGTTGAATCTTTTTAAACCTTTTGATGGGGGAAGATCATTAAGGTGGTTGGCTCCATGTCATCACAAAGGGGCAGGTAAGTGCAGATACTGACGCCAGGTGATAGCAGGCAGATGGGTAGGTTAGTCACATGACTGCTGCCATGCTGATGGTGTCTGTGTCATGAAGGTCAGGAAGGACTGATAGGTTAACCTGGGTCTTATGGGTGGAGGCAAATACTTGAAATAGAAAAGCTAATTATTATGAAACAAGATGGGGGAGCTGGGTTGTAAAACAGTTATCAATAGCTACCTCTGAGAAACTGGTTCTGTCTTTGGCTAGTGATTTGAAGGTAAGTTAAGTGAACTACTAGAAAAACATGAGAATTGGGCAATGTTAAAATGACTGCTCATTTGGTATGTTAAATCCATGTTATGTCCTTTCAGAACTTACCCCACTACCCCATAAATGAGCTATTTTGTCTTGAATTTAGAGAGGTTGGCCCAGGGCTTCATCAGGCGAAGTAAAGAACATGGGCCTAAGTCAGACTCTGTGTCCGGGTCATTGTGATTAATCACCTAGGGTGTCTCTATGGCCTTCTAAAATTTCCATGTCTCCCAGATGTACTCATAGCACCCAGAGTGCTATGAGGATCAGAGGCATCATGAATATAAATATGGTTTACCAGGTAGTGGAGTAATACTTTTGTTGTACATTAGTTAATGGACCAATATACTACAGCTGTGTAAAGTGATCTACAAGGCATCCAGAACCTCCTCTGGCCTACTGTACCTTTGTTCTGAAAAGGAAAAATTTTGGGTTTTGTTCTTATTAACTTGACATGCATGAGATCAGCATGTTTGTTGGAGCTCAGAAACTGATGCCCCAAAATATGGAGTTTTGACTGAAGATGCCTCAAGGTCCCTCTGACACCACCCCCATGCTGCTGCTTCCCCTCCTCTTATCTGCTGAAGGAATGAAGACTAAGATGTGATCACACCTGAGCAGACCTGTTTAATAGTATAATGACTGTCTCTAAAGATATTTACATTTCAAAGAAAGCTGTTTACCAGTTAATCTCTGTTTCCTATCCAGTCATTCTTCCTAGCAACCATTTCTTGCCTCTCAACGGAATTCCTTTTCTTTCCCCTCCCATAACCAGTTTACCAGGATCCAAGTCCCTATTCTTTCTGTAACTGTAAGATGGTTAAGATGGTATTAAGTTTCTGTAACTTCCTGACATTATTGGGAAGTCAGATCTTTTGGGGTTTTTTGTTTGTTTTTGAGTTGGAATCTTACTCAGTCACCAAGGCTGGAGTGCAGTAAGTTCAAGCAATCCTCCTGCCTCAGCCTCCCCAGTAGCTGGGACTACAGGTACATACCACCATACCTGGCTGACTCTTTTTTTTTTTAATGTTTTGTAGAGACAAGGTCTTTTTATATTGCCCAAGCTGGTCTTGAACTCCTGGGCTCAAGCAATCCTTCCGCCTCAGCCTCCCAAAGTGCTAGGGATTACAGGCGTGAGTCTTCATGCCCAGCTAGGTCTTCATTCATTTCAAAGCCTCCCATGTACACATGTTAAATAAATTTGCATGCCTTTTCTCCTATTGATGGATCTGCCTCATGCCAGTGACTTTTTGGCTTACCTTTAGAGAGCTGAGGGCCAACAGCCATAGACTCCCACATGCTTCAGCACGTTCCTTCCCTTTCCTGTCCTCAGGGCCTGGCCATGCACTCATTGAACAGTGGAATCCCGTAGGCCTGGTTGGAATCATCACTGCATTCAATTTCCCTGTGGCAGTATATGGCTGGAACAATGCTATCGCAATGATCTGTGGGAATGTCTGCCTTTGGTAAGAATGGCTCCCTTTTCCTCTCCAGTAGTAAGAAGGTAAAAATAGCCATTCCAGGTATTACAAGGGAGTATTTAAAATACATTGAAATGTTTTCTACTTACTGTTCCTTTTCAGTTAACATTAAGTCATACCTGCCAGTTGTGAAATACCGAATTTTAATTATTATGTTTTTTAACCATTGGCATTTTGAACTAGCATTGTTCTCCTATTTTTCTCAACTCTGCACCCCAAGTGGATGTACTCTTTTTTTTTTTGAGTTGGAGTCTCATTCTGTCGCCCAGACTGGAGTGCAGTGGCCGCTCCCGGCCACCGCAGCCTCGACCTGCTGGGCTCCAGCAATCCTTCCACCTCAGCCTTCCAAGTAGCTGGAATTACAGGCATGTGCTACTACGCCCGGCTGATTTTTTGATTTATTGTAGAGATGAGGTCTTGCTGCCCAGGCGGGTCTTGAACCCGCGGGCTCAGGCAATGCACTCATCTCAACCTCCCAAAGGCACGGGATTACAGGCTGAGCCACCAAGCCCGGCTGTGGATGTACTCTTAATTCACTTCTGACTCTGATTCCCCAGAGTTGGTGTCAGGCTCTACAGGTGTTAAGACTGCCCTACTTCATTCAGGTGTGAGCCACAAGTGGGGTCCCCACAACATCTATAGTTCTGGCCAACCTTCCATAAATTAGGAGGTTCTTTTGAACCCTTGGTTTCTTTCTTTCTTTTTTTTTTTTTTTTGAGTCAGAATCTCATTCCATTACCCAGACTGGAGTTTAGTGGCGTGTTCACGGCCACCGTAGCCTCACACCTGCTAGGCTCAGACAATCTTTGTGCCTCAGTCTTCCAAGTAGCTGAAACTGCAGGCGTGTGCCACCATGCCTGGCTAATTTTTTGATTTATTGTAGAGATCTCGCCAGGTTGCCCAGACTGGTCTCAATCTCCTGGGGTTAAGCAATCTTCTCACCTACGCCTCCCAAAGTACTGGGATTCTAGACGTGAACCACCATGTCTGGCAAACTCTTGGTTTCAGTAGTTTCCTAGAGTGAGCCATTAGAATTCAGGAAAGCCCTATGCTTAATGATTACACTTTCATTATAAAAGATACATAGGAAAATATCCAAAAACGTCCTACCTACAGAGCTTCCATGCCTTCTCCCTATGGAGTCAGGGCATGGTCACCATCCTGGCATATCACTATTTGACCAACTAGGAAACTCCACTGGATGTTGATGTCCAGAGATTCTTTTGGGGCTTTATTATGTAGGCATGACTGATTGTTATGTAGCTATCATGATTAAACTCAGTCTCCAGCCCCCATCCTGAAGCTATCTATGGGCCTACCAAAAGTCATTTTGTTAGCATAACAGAGACACTTCTATCATTCATAAAATTCCTAGGAGTTTTGAAGTTCTGTGTCAGAAACTGGAGAGAAAAATCCAATAGGTTTGTTTTATTGTAGCAACTTGCCAAACAGAAAAAAGTGTAAATGTCACAACTTTATTTATTTGGTTTTTTTTTTTTTGAGTTGAAGTCTTACTCTGTTACCCAGGCTGGAGCGCAGTGGCATGCTCACGGCCACCACAGCCTCGATCTGCTGGGCTCAGGTGATCTTTCCTCCTCAGCCTTCTAAGTAGCTGGAACTAAGGCATGCACCACTATGGCCAGCTAATTTTTTTATTTATTGTAGAGATGAGGTCTTGCCAAGTTGCCCAGACTGGGGCTTAGGAAATCTTATTACCTTGGCCTCTCAGAGTACTGGGATTATAGACATGAGCCATCATGCTTGGCCTTATTTATTTTATTTTTAAAAATTTTATTATTATTATATTTTGAGTCGGGGTCTCCTCTGTCTCCCAGCAGAGTGTAGTGGCACGATCCTGGCTCACCACAGCCTCCACTCCTGGGCTCAGGTGATCCTTCTGCCTCAGCCTCCCAAGAAGTTGGGACTACAGATGCATGACATCATGCCCGACTAATTATTTTAATTTTTATTTTTTGTAGAGACAAAGTCTTGCTATGTTGCCCAGGCTGGTCTCGAACTCCTAGGCTCAAACGATCCTACTGCCTTGGCAGAGTGCTAGGATAACAGGGATGAGCTACTGCACCTGGCCACATCTTCTATTTAAAGTTTGACTTCTTTCTTTTAATAAATATGTACTGTAATTGGTTTTTTTAGAGATGAAGTCTTGCTGTGTTGCCCAGGTAGATCTCAAACTCCTGGGCTCAAGCTATCTCAAACTTTTTGCCTCAACCTTCTGCATAACTGGAACTACAGGTGTGTGCTTTCATGCCTGGCTCCTTCAATAAATATTTGAAACTGAGCTCCCAAGTAATTCTGAGGCACTTAGCAGTGTTTCCATTGATGCTTTAAAGTTTTCATCTCTGTAATAGTAAAGTTGATAGTAAAAATGTATATTATGGATGGCGCAAAACAGTTACTTGTTCTTAGCTTTCATGTCCAATGAAAAAACTTAGATAAGGAAAATCAGGAGAATTGTCTTTGGTCCATTTTGCATCTATTTCACTAATATTTATTGGTTTTAAATGTGGTACTCAATTGAATATACTCAGACCATCTACAAAACAGAATCTTTGGGAGGATTAATGCTTTTGTACCATGTTGCCAAAGGAACCCATGCTTTCCAGCAGTCTGTTTTTGTTTTGTTTTTGGTTTTTTTGAGTTGGAGTCTCACTCTTTGTTGCCCAGGCTGGTGTGCAGAGGCATGCTCATGGCCACCGCAGCCTCAACCTACTGGGCTTAGGCAATCCTTTGGCTTCAGCTTTCCAAGTAGCTGGAACTACAGACGTATGCCACCATGCCCAGCTAGTTTTTCTGGTTTATTTAGAGATGAGGTCTCACCAAGTTGCCCAGGCTGGTCTCGAATCCCAGGCTCAGGCAGTCCTCTTGCCTTGGCCTCCCAAAGTGCTGGAATTACAGGCTGAGCCACCATGTCCATCTGCTTTCAGCACTCTAATCCACAAAGGCTGGTATAGTTTTCTTGTACTCTGAGCCTTCCAAGGAAAGTTTGATGAATGTGGCATACGCATAGATTTCTGCTGTACTCAGTTCCCATAATTGATCAAGTTTAGCAAGGCAGTTCCTGTGATCAGTGCAGCAAGCAGACCTAGAACTGCTTTAAGTAATTTTTATGTTCATGAAAGTTTTGTAGTCCTTTAGGACTCAGAGACAACAAGCTAAAGGATAAATTTCTATTTCAGTTACTAGGCTTGTTAGTTTTCCTGTTGAACGGAGCTTTCACTCATGTCTGACTTTTGTTTCTGCTTGATGATAAAAGGTTTTTATGGTTTCCATCAAATTAAGTTCTTTCTTTTCCCCCCCTTACCCTCTTAAGGAAAGGAGCTCCAACAACTTCCCTCATTAGTGTAGCTGTCACAAAGTAAGTATGTGTGGTTTTTAAATTTTCCTGGGTATGGAATAATCTTGAAAGGATGATTGATAGACCCTGACTTTTTAAGCCGATGTGAAAGGTTCATATTTGTTTAAGCATGGAATGTGGATAACCTATTTCTTTTTTGGTTATAATAAGTTTATTATATCATTTTGCCGTTTACAGAACTCTTTCAGAACTATATCATTTCAATTTTTAGAATAATCATTCCAGATATTGACATAAGTGTTGAACTTGAGTTTTTTTTTTTTTTTGATTTGGAGTCTTACTCTGTTGCCCAGGCTGGAGTGCAGTGGCATGCTCACAGCCACTGCAGCCTCGAGCTGCTGGTCTCAGGTAATCCTTCTGCCTCAGCCTTCCAAGTAGCTGGAACTACAAGCACGCATCACCACGCCTGGCTAATTTTTTGATTTATTGTAGAGATGTGGTCTCACCAAGTTGCCCAGGCTGGTCTTGAACCTGTGGGCTTAGGCAATTTTCTCATGTCGGCCTCCCAAAGTGCTGGGATTATAGGCATAAGCCACCATGCCTGACCTTTTTTTTTTTTTTTTGAGTTGGAGTCTTACTCCATTGCCCAGGCTGGAGTACAGTGGTATGCTCATGGCCACCCCAGCATCGACTGCTGGGCTCCGGCGATCCTTCTGCTTCAGCCTTCCAAGTAGCTGGAACTACAGGCGTGCGCTATCACTCCCGGCTAATTTTTGATTTTTCATTGTAGAGATGAGGTCTCACCAAGTTGCCTGTGATGGTCTGGAACCCGCGGTCTCAGGCAATTTACTTGTCTTGGCCTCCCAAAGTGCTGGGGTTACAAAGCTGAGTCACCAATTCCAACCTGAACTTGAGCTCTTATAGACATTTTTTGTCACTTAGGAAAAAAAAAATCTCCAGTGGAGAAGAAATATCCTTGTGATTTAGGGGCTATATTTTATAAGGATTCAACAAGTTAATGGTGTTGAGAATAGATTTCTACCCAGGCAATACTTTTATGCTTTTGCTTAATAGACTTAACAAAATAGAAAGAACTGTTTTTACTAATCCACTGATCTTGTAACACTGTTTAAATATAGTATTGTGTCTTTTGGTTAAAACAATTATTAGTGTTTTATTTATATTTAAGAACTTGACAACTCTGATCAGGTCATCATACTAGTGTTCTTAATTTATCAGTCTAGAATTTAGAGGCTATAGGTATAGAGTAAGTTGCCTTCCCATACAGGGTTGGAATGATGCACCTTCAATGTTCCATTGGTTGCAGGATCTTCCTTCTCTGATTTAAGAATGACTGGTAGAGAGCTTGTAGTAGAGACTATATGTAAGAGGGTTCTTAATGTTAGATTGTTTAGAACAGAGGCTTTGGAATTGGAAAATGGGCTGAAAAAGGGAGAGGATAGTGCGTATTAATATTTGATTAGAATAAATATGTAATATTGAGGAAATGATATCTTGAAGATGGGGTACTCAAATTAAATATTAAATAGAACACACAGAAATGATGCAATTTCTCAAGCAATTTTTAAAATTATTTATTTATTTATTTATTTTAGTTGGAGTCTCATTCTGTCAGCCTGCTGGGCTCAGGCAATCCTTCTGCCTCAGCCTTCCAAGTAGCTGGAATTACAGGCACACACTACCACACTGACTAATTTTTTGATTATTGTAGAGATGAGGTCTCGCCAGGTTGCCAGGCTGGTCTTGAACCTGCGGGCTCAGGCAATCTTTTCACCTCGGCTTCCCAAAGTGCTGAGATTACAGGTGTAAGCCACCGCACCTAGCCTTCTCAGACAATTTTTTTAAATAATTTTTTTTTTTGAGATAGGGTCTGGCCTAGGCTAGAGTGTAGCCTAGGCTAGAGTGTAGTAGCATGATCAGGGCTCATAGCAGCCTTGAACTCCTGGGCTCAAGTGATCCTCCTTCTTCAGCATCCTGAATAGCTAGGACTACAGTCATGTACCACTATGCCCTACTATTTTTTTTTACTTTTTTTGTGAAGATGGGCTCTGTTGCCCAGGCTGGTTGTGAACTCCCGTCCTTAAGTGATTCTTACAAAGTGCTGGGATTACAGGCATGAGCCACCATGCCTTGGCTCTGTGTGTGTATTTTTTTTAAACAGTTAGTTAATGTGGACATAGTGGACTGCTTGCCAGTTGTTAAGTAGCTGGTTAAAATATTGATTTTGATACTAAGTTTTGTTTAAGAGTTTTTTTCTTTTTCTTTTTTTTGCTTTGCAGATAGAAGAATTTGAAATGTCCATGTAGGAGTTTAACATATGCTGGTTGATAGCCTTCAGAGGGTTAAAAATATATGATTTTATAATGGAAGATAAGTAAAATGATGCCAAATTTTACTGGAATTAACCAGGGTAGTGCAATGCCCACTTAGGATTTCTTCTTAAATTCAACTAAATGTTCAGGCTCATAAGATGACCACAGGCCTTATGGGGTTCTCCGTCTATTCCAAAGGACAGAGGGCAGGGACATAGTTTGCCAGGAGGTCAGCATCAAGTATTCCTCTTCAGTCTGTCCTTGTGACAGTCACACAGGTTCAAGGAGACTGGATCTCCATTGGACAGTTGTGGAGGCTACTGCCTAATGCCCCACAGAAACCTAAATCCCTTGTGCCAGTTCTATAATTACACCTTTCATGCACTATAGAGACATGCAGTGCCACTATACTCAGGGAATACCAAAAAGCATAGCATTCCCATTTAAAGATAGTTTCATCTCAGTTCAGATGGAATTCAAAGATAGTTTCATCTCAGTTCAGATGAAATTGTCCAGTCAGGGGTCATTTTTACCATAATCCATGTTGTCTAAATACCATTGTTGGCACTCTGACATTTATCAGGTAACATGGGGAACAGAGCTATTGTTCAAACTAAAGTTTGATTCCCATGCTTTAAGGGAAAAGGGTTTTGTTAACCTCTACCCAGAGGCATAATGCAAAATCCTTGCCCTTAAAGAGAGTGCAGTCTTCTTATGCAGACAATACATATACCTGAAGCCCTCGGAAAGAATTGTATAATCCAGAACATGGTCTTGAACATGACGCCTGCAGTGCATGATTCTTGATTGGATTCTGGATGAGAGGGAAGAAAGAAAACTATAAAGGGCATTTTGGGAGACAATTGGGGAACTTGAGTATGACAGTGATATCTTTTCTATGGAAGTGGGAGTGGGATTTGGATCTTTTTGAAACCATAATTATTTGAGCCATTTTTTAACAACTCAGAATCAGGTTTAAGTAAACTTTAAATGTATGTCTCATTTTAACTGTAATAGCTTGAGCTGTAGGAGAAAAAGCTTTGCTTGTCCAAAGTGCTTTAGCTTGAAGGGCACTGATACTTTCTAACTGAGCTGGTTTAGTGGGAAGCCAGTGGATGCTGGTCCTGAGCTGCTTCGGGGTCCTGCAGAGCAGCCCCAGCTTCTTCTGTGTGCCTCTAGGCTTTGAGAATCCTTACCTCTTCCACATGCATCCTCTACCACTTCTCTAATTCTGCTTTTCAGAGATGTGTTTAAGTCTCATTTGCTGAGACTTAATTTCCTTCATCTTTCTAAGTCTTATTCCTTTTTCATTTCCTTTTTATTTCTTTGTTATCATTTTATTTTAATGGATTTGTGATGAAAGACCCCCCCCAAAATAAACAAATAAATCCCCACTCTCAGCCCCCCCCCCCGTTATCCACTTGCTGTCCTTAACCAGATGTGTCTTCATAGTTTGGCAGAAAATACTTGAAAACAACAATTGCTTAAACTACCTGAGCAATGCTCTGTGTCAGAACTGTTTATGTTCTATGTTTGTTTTTCTTAACATGTTTTTTTGGAAAACAAGTTCTGATAATTGTTTGAAAATCTCATCTCTAATATATGAAGAGAAATCCAGGCCTGAATATATGAGGGAAGAGTCTATATGTGAAGGGGTTCTTAATGTTAGAAGATCACTTAGGAACAGTGGTTTAGGAATTGAAAAGTGGGCTGAAAAGAGAGGAACATATTTGAGGGATTGGAGGGAAAGTTGAAAAAGAAGAGTCAAGTGGTTGGAATTTAATAATCCTCATTTTTAAAAAATGCCTTAAAAAATTAAGCTGTTGTCTTAGTAATTGATTTTTCCTTTTTAGGATAATAGCCAAAGTTCTGGAGGATAACAAGCTGCCTGGTGCAATTTGTTCCCTGACTTGTGGTGGAGCAGATATCGGGTAGGTTAATAAACTGATCGCATCCTTCTGTTGAAGGACCCGGTTGACCATCCAGAATAATCTTTACTAGAATAATGTAACCCAGTACAGCTAAGGACATGAGAATGGTACATGAGAATGGTTTTGTCGCCCTCCGACTGGGTTTTTATGGCCACTGCACAAGCAGCCAGTTCACTGAGACAGCAGTGGTTAAAGTAAAGAAAGAGTTTGATTATCTCAGGACAGCCAATCAGAAGAGAGGAGATATTTCTTAAATTCACCTCTCCAGAAATTTTTAAGCTTGGGTTTTTAAAGAGAATGTGGCAGGCAGGGGGCTGAGGAACTGGTACTGCTGAAAGGGGGTTGAAGTCACAGGGGTGTTGTGCAGAGCCGTGGGGTCAGGACTGGTGGAGTCAGCTCCTCGGTGAGGGTCACAGATCTGGGTGGGTCTAGTTGCTCCATTAAGATGTAAAGTCTGAAAAACATCTTCAAGAGATTTTACATAGCAGCTGGAGAAGTTACAAGACCGCCCCAGTGACCTGAGTCCCGGGCAGTAAGGCATTATAAAGAAGCAAACTAGGGGACAGTGGCTGGTTACCATTGACCTCTGCTTGTGGAAAGGTGTGCAGGAGTTGATCAAACTCCTGGATACCATCAGGGGGTTTTGCAGCACCTAAGGCTCATTGTTGAAGGGAAAATAAGTTCATCCATCCCACGGACAGCTTCCCCTGGGGGAAATTTAGATAATCAGTTATTAGTGGCTTCTATTCAAGCAACTATGGGTGAGTGATCACGCAAGGAAGAAGGCAGGCTTAGAAACAGAACTGAGAAACAACAGGTTTTTTTTAACTTTTAATTTATGCCTGTAACTTTGTAGGACTCTGGTCTTTTCTACAGCTTATACCTGGAGCCCTATATTACTTTTATATAGGTGATTTCAGTTCTTTGGAATCACTGTTATGGACCTCGTTGGGTGTTATTAATTTATAATCTCTATTGGAAGATGAGTGAGAATTGTTTTTTTAATTTCCCGGAGCTGCTATGCATAAGGTGTCTGAAATAACAAACTGCAGTAAAGGTGGGCAGTCTGTGACTTCCCGATGCTCTCTTTACTGTCATTATTTGTTTATTTTATTTTATTTTCTAGAGTTAGGATCTTGCTTTGTTGCCCAGGCTGGAGAACAGTGGCACAATCATAGCTCACTGCAGCCTCAAGCTCCTGGGCTTAAGTGATCATCTTGCCTCAGCCTCCCAAGTAGCTGGGACTACAGGTACGCATCACCACGCCCAGCTTATTTTTTGATTTTTTTTTTTTTTTCTTGTAGACATGAGGTCTCACTCTGCTATCTAGTCTGGTCTTGAACTCCTGGGCTCAAGCAATCCTCCTGCCTTGACTTCCCAAATACCGGAATTATAGATGTGAGCTACTGCACCCAGCCAATATGTGACCTTTTGTAACTTATTTTTTACTTGGCATAATGTTATAGCCTCTGCAAGCTGGAACTGACTATAATTGCTCTGAACTATAATGAAAGCTGAGGTTGTTCTTACAAGCTAAGGCTTTGATTAGGTGAGGTTTCCTAGAAGTCAAGTCTTAAAACCCATACTGGTGTGGCTAAAGTGTTAGTTTCCTTCCAACACTTTTTTTCTTTCTCTCTGTAGCTTTAGGGGATACAAATAGTTTCCGGTTACATGGATACATTATATAGTGGTGAAGAGGTTTGGGTTTCAAGTGTACCCACCACTCCCACCTGTGCACATTGTACCTGATAGGTGATTTTTTTCCCTCTTCTTTTTTAACATACTGCTATACTTACTATACAACCTCAAAAAGGAGTGTTAAGTTACTCTTTTTTTTTTTTTTTTTGAGTTGGAGTCTCACTCGGTCGCCCAGACTGGAGTGCAGTGGCCGCTCCCGGCCACCGCAGCCTCCACCTGCTGGGCCCCGGCGATCCTTTCCCCTCAGCCTTCCAAGTAGCCGGAATTACAGGCGCACGCTACCACACCCGGCTGATTTTTTGATTTATTGTACAGATGAGGTCTCGCTGCCCAGGCGGGTCTCGAACCTGTGGGCTCAGGCAATCCACTCACCTCAGCCTCCCAAAGGCGCTGGATTACAGGCTGAGCCACCGAACCCGGCTAAGTTACTCCTTTTTTATATAGGTGTGAAAGTATTAGAAAATATAACTTCTCGTATACAGTACATAGTGTTAAGTATGACCTCAGTGTCATTTAATATTGAATATTCTGGCCTTTGACCTACTCTGTTCTTGCCCTCTGGTCATACATTCCTTTGTGTTAGCCTTGGAATAGTTCAGATAATTGTAGTTGTGCATATAGAAGTGCATCAGACAGCAGCTACTTTGAGTGTCAGTGCTCATATTTGCTGGGTTGAACCTGGGAGACCTACCTAGGTAATTTCACCAAGCTGTCCAGTTCTACATTAAACCGATGCTATGGCTGCCCTGCTTGGCACACAACTCTGAACTGTTCACAAGAGGTTTAAATCTATTGTGTCTGATCTATATTCCTTAGAAAAGCAACTGAAAATCCTAGAATAGCCTTTTAAAGCCAACTTTTATAGGGAATATTTTAGGATGTTTTCCTTTAGTCTTTTGGTTCTTTTTGTTTTTGTTGTTTTGTAGAGGGGGGATCTTGATATGTTGCCCTGACTAGTCTCACTCCTAGCCTTAAGTGATCCTTCTGCCTTAGCCTCCCAAAGTGCTGAGATTATAGGTGTAAGCCACCACATCTGGCAGTTTTTAATTCTGAAAGGTATTACACAGTAGGTTAAGAGTCTGAAAACTGACTAGAATGCTCAGCTAGGAAGTACTAAGGTCATATTGTCCAGTCACCTACTTCCCTAAGTATCAACTGCCTCTAGGTGATTTCTGATTATGAAGTGCTCGCAGAGCAGGTTAGCGTGTTCTTCAGTGTGGTTCTACTTGTGAAGAATTTAATTTTCTTTTTTTTTTTTTTTTGAGTTGGAGTCTCATTCTGTCACCCAGGCTGGAGGGTAGTGGCACACTCCCAGCCACCGCAGCCTCGCCCTGCTGGGCTCAGGCAATCCTTCCAATTCAGCCTTCCAAGTAGCTGGAACCACAGGCATGTATCAGCGCACCTGGCTAATTTTTTGATTTTTTGTAGAGATGAGATCTTACCATGTTGCTCAGGCTGGTCTCGAACCCCTGAGCTCAGGCAATCCTCTCACCTTTGCCTCTCAAAGTGCTGGGATTATAGGTATGAGCCACCATGCCCGGCCTAAGAGTTTAATTTTCATGAAGACCTTCCCTTGCTTACTGGCATAGACTTTGTGGTAGCTTTGACTGACTGCTTTCCAAGGGCACATGTCAGTATTTTCTTGCTGGGTACCATTAGGTGTTGCCATTGCTGCATTTCTCTGCTTGGGTAACCATGTCTGTTCTCCTGCAGCACAGCAATGGCCAAAGATGAGCGAGTGAACCTGCTCTCCTTCACCGGGAGCACTCAGGTGGGAAAACAGGTGGCCCTTATGGTGCAGGAAAGGTTTGGTAAGTGTTGACTTTCCAATGAGGATTTTAATTCCCTCAGAAATAGGATGTGAAATCTAAAAGTTTTTTTTTCTTCAACCTTTTCCATGGAGACACTGGCCAAGTATATTTGAATGTCCAAGTAAAGTAAAAGAGTGCACAGTTATTAGGGAAGTCTCAAATTTAAATAGTATAATTTGGAAAAGGATGTCATTTTCTCTCATTTACCAAATTTCACAAGTCCTGTTTGGCAAATTAAGAGAAATCAGAATTTTAAAAAGACCAATGAGTACAGGACTTAGGATGAATGTGGAATTAGCTCTTCTGTCATTTGTATTTCACATATATATGATTGAAAAGGGTTGTATGGACATAGCTTTGTATATGATGCTGTGCTTTATGATTTATTTAAAAGGTTTTCAAGGATAATATTGACCATCAATTTTTGACTATTATGTTGAATTTAGACTCTAACCCTGGTATAAGATGAGATTTGACTAGTTAATCTGCCAGCCATTTTACTATATGCAATGCTTTTAAAAAGCAAGTTTACGAAACATCATTAGAACTAATAAATAAGACAACAAGATTGCAGGACATAAAATCAATATATAAAAAAATCAATTTTATATATATATTTTTTGAGTTGGAGTCTTACTCTGTCTGTCACTCAGGCTGTATTACAGTGACATGATCATGGCTCACCACAGTTGCAACCTCCTGGGCTCAGGTGATCCTTCTGGCTCAGGAAATCCTTCTGGCTCAGCCTCCCAAGTAGCTGGAACTTACAAATTGTGCCACCATGCTCAGCTAATTTTTTTTATTTTTTGATGGAAATGAAGTCTCACTATGTTGCTTAGGCTGGTTTTGAACTCCTGGGCTCAAGTGATTCTCCCACCTTGGCCTCCCAAATGCTGGGATTACAGCCTACAGCCACTGCATCCGACTAAAAGTCAGTTATATTTCTTTTTTTTTTGAGTTGGCATCTCACTCTTGCCAGACTGGAGTGCTGTGGCACGCTCCTGGCGACTGCAGCCTCAACCTGCTGGGCGATCCTTCCGCCTCAGCCTTCCAAGTAGCCGGAACTATAGGCGCGCGCTACCTCACCCGGCTAGTTTTTGATTTATTGTAGAGATGAGGTCTCGCCAAGTTGCCTAGGCGGGTCCCAAACCCGCGGGTTCAGGCAATCCACTCACCTCGGCCTCCCAAAGCTCTGGGATTACAAACTGAGCCAACGAACCTGGCCTATTTCTATACATTAACAATGAACAACCCGAAAGTGAAATTCCAAAAACATTTCCATTTACAATATCACCAAAAAGAGTAAAATACTTACAAATAAACAAAAAAAAGTAAGTGTTTCACATAGAGCACAACAAAACATCATAAGAAATTATAAGTGACCTAAGTAAATGGAAGGATAGTCCGTTTTCATTTTTTGGAAAATTTAATACTGTTAAGATGGCAATACTGCCCAAATGTTCTGCAGATTCAATGCAATCCCTATCTAAATCCCAGCTGCCTGTTTTTGCAAAAATTGACAAGTTGATCCTAAAATTCGTATGGTAATATAAAGGATCCTAAATGGTCAAAAGAATCTTGAAAAACAACAAAGTTGGAGGACTCTCACTTCCCAATTTTAAATTCAGGACTATGTGGTACTGGCATAGGGATAGACTTAAAGATCAATTGAGTAGAACTGAGAGTACAGAAATAAATCCTTGCATTTATGGGCAACTGGTTTTTTTGACAAGGGTGCCAAGTCATTTCAGTAAGGTAAGAATAGTCCGTTGGGTTTGTTTTTATTTTTGTGGAGGTGATGTTTTGCTATGTTGCCTAGGCTGGTCTCAAACTCGTTGGCTCAAGTAATCCTCCTACCTCGACCTCCCAAAGTGCTGGTTTCACAGGTGTGAGCCACCGCACATGGCCAAGAATAGTCTTTCTAATAAATGTACTTAAACAACTAGATATTCATAAACATAAGTATAAAGTTGGACCCGTGTACATCCCATATACAAAGACTAACCCAAATGTATCAAATACCTAAATGTCAGAGCAAAAACTATTAAACTCTTAGAGGAAAATACAAGAATAAGTCTTTGTGAACTTATGTTTAGCAGTGATTTCTTAGATAAGACATCTAAAGCACAAACAACAACAGCAAAAATAAATATATTAGATTTCATTGAAATTAAAGACTTGTGCAAAAGGACAACCTACAGAATGGCAGAAAATATTTGTAAATCACATATCTAATAAGGAACTTGTACCTAGAATACATAAATAACTTAAAAATTAATAACGTAAAAGACAAATAACCTAATTAAAAACAGTCAATGCATTTGAATAGACATCTCAAATGGTTAATTAGCATATGAAAAGATGCTTGACATCATTAGTTCCATTCCTCCTACTACCAGATTTTATTTCATCTTCTCATTCTTTCCTTTCCTCCTCCTTACTCAAAGCAGTAGTTTGTTGTTCTTGCTTCAGTAGTACCATTAGGAGAATTAATGCATCAGTCTCTTAAATGATGATAGGCTCTTTTCTTAGGGGGATTATTAGTCAGGACTGTAGAGAGCAACTGATAGAGAAATTGGAAGAATGTAGCAAGTGAAGGTCCCTCCTCTTCTGCAGAATATCACTGGCAGCCAGTCAAGAGAAGCTGATGGAAGGCACAGAGGCTTTTGTTTCCTTCCATTTCTTCTTAGCACTTAGCATAGTGCTGTGCTGTGGCCGGTAAGCTGTCATTAAACCAATGATTGCAGCAGAGACTAGAGCTGATACAGCATTAGGTGGCTTTTGGTAATACCAGTCACATCCCTTCATAATTGATATCCACATGATACTTAACTGTTTCAGAGTGATGGAAATGAGAGCATCCTCTGCTGCTGTTACATATGCTCCTGGCATCACAAATACATTAAAGTTTTTTATGTAAAAGTTGTTTTTAAAGTTTATTTAGGGAAATCTATGTTCAAAAGATCTAAAGTAAAAATATGACCAAAACAGAGGCAAATAAATCTCAAATCTTAATGCTGGAAGGAGTAAGGTAAGTGACATTCATAGCCTGCTGTGTGACTTTTCTGGAATGTAGGTTGGCAGTGTCTATCAGGAGTCCTAATATTCATACCCTTAGTCCCTGATCTAATAAGACAATCAAGAATAATCAGCAATGAATATATTCATGCTGGGGAAGTAGCTAATTATAATTTGGTGTGCTATGATGATGAAATACTATAGAGTGGTTTCTTTTAATAACTCTTAATAATTTAGAGAGAGACATAAGACAATCAGAAAATAAAGTAAAATATAAAAGCACAGGGAAAGATTGGAAGACAGTACTAAATTGTAAGGAGGAATTTTGTTGTGGCCTCATGGGCCACAGCTTTTAAAAAAAAATTTTATTGTGGGAGGAAAAAACACAACATAAAATTTACCATCTTAGCCATTTCTAAGTACACAGTTCAGTAGCATCAGATACATTCACATTGTTGTGGAACCAATCTGTAGAACTTTTTCATCTTGCAAAAACGAAGCTCTATATTCATTAAACCCTAACTCCTCCTTTCCCCCTGCCCCCAGCTCTTGGCAACTACCTTTCTACTTTCTGTTCTATAATTGACTACTTTAGATAACTTCATACTTTAGATAACTTCATACAGTTCTTTTGTGACTGGCTTATTTTGCTTAGCATGATGTTTGTAAGGTTCATCCATATTGTCGCATACAATAAGATTTCCTTCTTTTTTTTTTTTTTTTTTGAGTTGGAGTCTCACTCCATCGCCCAGGCTGGAGTGCAGAGGCACACTCACGGCCACCCCAGTGTCCACCCACTGGGCTGTGGCCATCCTTCCGCCTCAGCTTTCCCAGTAGCCGGAACTATAGGTGCGCGCTACCACGTCTGGGTAATTTTTTGACTTATTGTTGAGACAAGGTCTCGTGAAGTTGCCTGAGCTGGTCTTGAACCCGTGGGCTCAAGCAATCCACTTGCTTCAGCCTCCCAAAGTGCTGGGATAGCAGGCTTAGCCACCAAGCCAGACCAGATTTCCTTCTTTTCTTAAGGCTATATAATGTTCCATTGCATGTATATACCACACTTTTTTAATCTATTCACCTGTTGATGGATATTGGGTTACTTCCACCTTTTGGCTGTTGTGAATAATGCTGCTCTGATTATTCGTATACAAATACCTGTTAGTTTCTGCTTTTATTACTTTTGGTTATATACCCAGAAGTGCAATTGCTAGATCATATATCATATAATAATTCTGTGTTTAATATTGGGAGGATCACCATACCATTTTTCACGGCTGCCCCATTTTATACTAATTTTCTCTATTGCAGCTCTCCACAGTCTTGACCTCCTGGGCTCAGGTGATCCTTTTGCCTTAGCCTCCTGTAGCTGGGACAACAGGCATATGTCACCATGTTTGACTAATTTTTAAAATTTCTTTTGTAGAGACGAGGTCTTGCTATGTTGCCTGAGTTGGTTTTGAACTCCTGGGCTCAAGCAATCGTCCCACCTTTGCCTCTCAAAATGCCAGGATTGCAGGCATGAGCTACCGTGCCCGGCCTCTTTGTTTTTTCTTATGTAATTTCAAACTTAAAGTTATAAGACTAACACAAGGATTGCTAAATACCCTTTCATCACATTTGTCGGTTGCTTACATTTTTAGCCCATTTGCTTTATCATTTTTTCTCTCTCTAGCCACATATATATACGTACATACATGTATTGTTAGTGCAGGTTATTGTTGAACTGTTCAGAATAACTCAAAGATATTGTGTCCCTTTACTACTAAATATTTCAGGGTATTTCCTAAGAACATGGACATTCACATAACCACAGTACAGTGATCAAAATCAGGAAATTTCATATTGTCACAAAAATTATAATACTTTATAAATCAGAAAATAAATTAAAAAATAACTGAGATAGGCTATAACTTGAGGCTATATAGTATACAGTGTACAGTAAATAATGAAGTAGGCATTAATTTGTGTTTATGATTTTTTTAAAGGGAGAAGCTTGTTAGAACTTGGAGGGAACAATGCCATTATTGGTAAGACTGCCCATTTTGTTTTCTGCTCACAAAATCTTCTGTAGCCATCCTGAATATATATACAGCTTGGTTAGAAACTCATCCATTCTATTTTGTGTATGCCTGGACCCTCATTCCCACATTTAGGAACTTTACTTGGGAGGTAAGGCCACAAGCTTGGTTTGAAGGCAGAGGTAACTAGGAAAGAGAGGTAACTAGTGTTTGGAAAATGTTATTGGAGCTTAGAATTTGTGAATGAGACTTCCATTGTAGTGGCATTATTTCTTGTTCTTCCTTCTGTTATCTGAAAACTGGCCACCTGTTTCTTTAGAATAATAAATAACTCTTATGGGACTTGATCATTCCTTTAAATTTAAAAAATGTTATTTTGTCTTAGTGGAATATGGAGTGCTTTTATATTGGGAAGGAATACTTAAAGCATTTCTTTTTCACTAATGTCTAAGCTTAGAGATTACTTAGTTCTTTTTTTTTTTTTTTTTTGAGTTGGAGTCTCACTCTGTCGTCCAGGCTCGAGTGCAGTGGTATGCTCATGGCCACTACAGCCTCAACCTGCTGGGCCCAGGTGATCCTTCCGCCCTCAGCCTTCCAAGTAGCTGGGATTATAGGCACATGCTACCACGCCTGGCTGATTTTTTGATCTATTGTAGAGATGAGGGCTCGCCAAGTTGTCCAGGCTGGTCTTGAACCTGTGGGCTCAGGCAGTCCTCTCTCCTTGGCCTCCCAAAGTGTTTGGGTTATAGGCATGAGCTACCGCTCCCAGCCCTAGTTCATTTTTTGAAATTGAGTTTGTCACAAAAGGAAACAGATTATTAGCTTACATTCTGACAATGTAATGAAAATCAGTAGATTGAGACTTAATAGAAGCATGGCTTTTGTGATAAAAATCAAAACTTGCTGATTTCTCTATTGTCATCATCATCATATGATTAAATGACTAGATATTTGTGGTGGACACCAGCGATCTAACAAGTATATGGTGAAGGGTTTGTTCCAGGTGAATTTTTAATCTAAACAGAGCCTTCATTTGAGAATTTAGTGAGCAGTGGTATCTGCTAGGTACTCTGCTCAGCTGTTGAACAGGCATTATTTCATTTATCCCTACAACACTTCTGTGAAGTAGATACCATTATTAATCTCATCTGAAGTTTACATTCTGAGTCTTAAAATGATTGTGTGTCTTAAGTGACAGGCTGGCAAGTGGCAAATGCTGGTGTTTGTATCCTGCTAACAAGACCTCAGAGCACAGCTTTTTTTTTTTAAACTCCTTACTGTCATCCATTATTATCCCACACATTATTACCCCATTTTACAGATGAGAAAACTGACGCTTGAAAATTAAAACAGTACAGCCTTGGGGATGGATTAAAGACTCCGTTCTGTTTGCACAAACCACTGTCTTTACCATCATGCTAGTGTGAGAACGCTGTTAGATTGGAGAGGGAAATCTTGAAGTTGTAGGAGGAAACTAGCTGAAAGTTTCTAGAAGCTATAAGAAGGGAGGAATTAGAATTAATATAAATGGAAGTGTTAACTTTGTAAAAATAGTGCTAATTTTTCCTTCTGAAGGCAGAAGAGGAGGAAGGAATGGATAAAAGCAGGGAGGAATTTGGAAGTGATTTTGCACTGATCTCTTCGGAGGAGCAGAGAAGCATGAGAGGGCCTTGTGTTCTTTGAGATTTTTTTTTTCCCATGAAGTCGAGGGGGAAGTCATGTGGTGCTGGAGTAGAAAGCAGTGGTAATTCAAAGATTTGGGAAAACTTCTGTAGAGTGGCGACAGGGTATCTACTGATGCAAGTAAGTGCACAGGTGCTGCTAGAGAGCGTGCTTTTTTATGGAGGCGATAAAGGGTTATGTTGACCTCTCTAAATGTGTATAGGCACAAAGAAGCTGCCACCAAAATAGCTTATGGGCAAATAAGGCTGGCAAAGAGGATGGAATTTCAGAGAACAGACCACAATGAGGATGCAGAGGAGGCTTAGTATTAGAAACTGAAAGGTGAAAGATAAAGAACAGGTCAGGAGTGAGGAGCACCAGTTCCCTCTGGACTTGGGTAAAGAGCACAGAGCTCATTCTCTTCTCATCTTCCTTGGAAGGAAAAGATGGCTTTCCCCCCATGAGTATATGTGTCTCTGTGATGTTAGTGTGCCTGCATTACACTATGTTTGGTATTCTCTTATGCACTTTTTAAAGAGATTGTTTTATTCCAGTTAACAAATTCCTTGTCTGCATTCTTCGCCTCACTGATGAATTTGTTTGTGCTTCTCAAAGCTTTTGAGGATGCCGACCTCAGCTTGGTTGTTCCATCAGCTCTCTTTGCTGCCGTGGGCACAGCTGGCCAGAGGTGTACCACTGCAAGGCGACTGGTGAGTGTGTCTGTCTAGGCACCTGTCCTGCTCTTTTATTTTTTTATTTTCTTATATACGAGTGTATATTTTTATAGAGAGATGGGGTGTCACTATGTTGCCCTGGCTGGTCTTGAACTCCTGGGCTCCAGGGATCATCTTGCCTTGGCCTCCTGAAGTGCTGGGATTACAGGAGTGAGCCACCATGCCCAGCCTTGTCATGCTCTTTAAACACCCCTTTTTAACAAATTCTGCTATTAAGGAGATGTCATAGCAGTATTGCCAGAATAAAGATTCCATAAACATGGCTTGCAAATATGTGGCAGGTGTTGTTAACCATGCAGGGACTCTGCCTTTTCCCCAACCCTGAGCTAACAGGGTCTCACTCCCAGTTAATTGGAGTTGAACTGGGTGATGAGACCTATTTTCAGTTCTATATTCCTAGGACAATACGGACAAAGTCCAATGTTACTTACAGAATAAAACAAGCTAAAAATATACAAAATTCTTAAACTGTGAGCTAAAAATAGACTTACTCTTTTATAAAAACTTTTCTTTTTTTTTTTTTGAGTCGGAGTCTCACTCTGTCGCCCAGAC